GAATTGGGCCGAGATACAAACCAAAGTCTCGGCCAACGAGGTTTAAGATCGGTATGCAGTATTCGGCCGGGATGTGGCCCAGCTGATTTTTGCTCTCTGGGAGACTCAACGTTGAAAGGTAAGACGTTGAAACGTTGCGATATCAACGTTGATTCATCTTTCAAAATCGAAACATAATTCGACATTGTTTCAACCATGATCTGTGACGTTGATTCAACCGTGATTAAACGTTGAAATGCCAGCTGGGATGCTTTTTACAGTCAGCTTTTACAAACAGCTTCTACAATCAGAATTTACAGTCAGCATTTACATTCAGCTTTTTGTCATCTTTTAAAGTTTGTTTTTACAGCTCTGGATCTTTGTACCCCAGGCCTACACACAAGCCTGTAAAGAGTTGTGGTATTTCAAAATAATCAAAGGCTTTGGTATGTTATTAGCAGTGGGTATATTAGTGATTCTAATATTAATCAGATACTTAGCTCAGTTGGGCAGTTAAAATGTTTAAGGCAGTCTGAATATAAATTGTGAGTGAAAAAGAGTGCTTTTCTGGTCTGCACACTCATTGAAGTCAAGAGACAAGTTTGGCAGGATGGTCCTGCAGCTGGAAGCTTCATGTTAATTTTTTCTGTCATAAACAGTTGATTAAAACAGTTATTTGCTAAACAAGATTAGAGGATTTTACCACCAAAAAATTCATCATAGCAAGTAATCATTCTGCAAAATATTTTTTATTTAAATTTACAAAAAAAGTAAATACCTAAATTACCATATTATATTCTGCTGTCTTTTCATATTATTAGGGGTCCAAGCACCTTTAGGTGCATGGGACCCTATTGCTTTTGCTCAGATTTTTCTTCTTCTTATTATTATTATTATTCTTTTTCTGCCCTAAAACGGTTTGTGGAGAAGACACCGTAAGTCATCCAAAGACCAAACTTAGAGGGTAGGTGTAGATTCCCCCCCACTACTCAGGCAACTGAAATTACTCCTGGCCTGATGGTGGCATGATGGTGGCGCTATAGAGCAACATTTTATGTTTTTGCCCATATCTCCTGAACCATGGGGGCTACCCTCAAAATTCTTGCTTCTTCATAATCCTTTCTTTATTCTACATCAACATCTCACTGCAAGTTTTTAGCTCCGCCCCCAAATTTATCATCATAATTGACAAAATATGTGACATCTACATTTTTCTACTAGTCTGAGGTTTTTCAAGATATCAACACAATATTGGTCTCAAAATGTTCAGGGGAGTCTGGAGGTCAAGAATTATCAAAAAAAATTAAATTAATCCCCTCTGGGTTTGGCTTAATTCACATGAATGTCTACAGATCGAGAATGATTTGGCCAATTCACATCAAACTTATCAGTCCTGTACCCCACATGATTCTGTGGAAGCCCACCAAGGTTGATACCGATTCCTCAATAGGGGGCACTATAACAGCCAAAAATATGTTTCTCAGCAACCGCTTGGCCAATTGAGCTGAAACTTTGCGTGCTGTATCCATGGCCTAATATTTACAAGATCTATTAAGGACAACTGAATCATTTGACAAATATGGCCGCCATTGGCCAATAAGCTTTCAACGGGCATTTAGAGGGCTTAGCATTGGCCAATCATCACAAAAATGATATCATGTGTCCCCATAGGCAATCTCTAATAGCCTATAAAGTTTGACCTCAATTGGCCATGAGGTGGCGCTATAGAGTATAAACGAAAATAAGTCCTATAAATTTTATCATATATCAAAATAAATCAATAAATATCATTGCTTACACTGAGCATGATATTTTATCCAATACAAGTCTTTTAAAATTCTGTAAAGTTTTTCTTTGATTCATCAATGTTTGAAAATTGAGCTTTTCAAACTAGTCTGTGGATTTTGAAACAACTGTTTCAATTTTGGTCTTAAAACAATCTGTGGAGTCCATAGGTAAATAATTATCAAAAAAAACCTTGACTTTATTGCAAAGAAAACAGCCATGAGACACCAATGAATCTGTTCGGCCTGACCTTTTCTGACTTAGGGGGCTATAGATTCTTTAGTTTTTAGGTGATTGTGATAAATCTTGGTAAACTTATACACTACTGTTTTCTGATCAAACATGCAAAGTTTAATTTAAATTGATTATCATAAGCCCCTACAATACTTAATCTAGTGCGTAATTATTAAAATGTCATTATATTCTTCTATGAATGAAATAAAGAAAAGATCATGGTTTCAAATTACACATCTTATTAATGTCTAAAACATTGCAATTATATGTCTGTTCCAAAATTGCACAGGAAATGTGGAAATTTGAGTTAAAGCCAGGATGGCCACATAATTAATAAGGGTAATATCTTTTCTGTCCAGCAGAGGGAGCATCAGCATTAAATGCAAATTATGACTTCAAACATACTTATGGTCATAGTCTTTGCAACATCTATCTTGCGGCAAATGAACTTTCTGAATTTTATGTATTTCACTGAGCCAAGCAATTTTGCTTATAAAAGTCTTTTAAAAAACTCTATTGTTTTTCTGTAAATCATCGGAGTTTGAAAACTGATGTTTTCATACTGCTTGCTGAAATGTTTTTGCAATGTCTCAAACTTGGTCTCTAAACAACCGTCAAAGTCTCAAGATCAATAATTATTTTAAAAACCTTGGCTTTTAAGCACAATGTTATTGCAAGTTATGGATGAATCAGTTTGGTCCAGCCGATTCAGAAACAAGGGACCACAAATCTGTCACTTATGCTCTGATTGTGACCAAAAATGATATATACATTGCAAATCATAAGCTGAGGAAACCTATGAGATTTGGCTTGAATTGGCTTAAGTTGGCTCTTACAATGCTCAATGTACTGCCAACAATCTAAAATGTAATTATTCCTGTCTAAGATTAAAATAAAGACATGACTATTGTTTCAAATTATGCATCTTAATAAGAATTAACACTTTGCAAATATGTGTAGGTTGCTTAACTGTACAGGAAATCATATAATTTGATTTCAGCAAATTTTAATTAGAGCACAAGAGGTGTTTTATATTTCTCTGGCCACCAGAGGAAGCCAAATCAGTAACTGCAAATGTCAATGTTCAACTAATTAATAAAAAATATACTATTAGTGGAAAGCTTTACTCTATGTCTTTAGGTCAAGACAATTTCTGTACTTTTTGCTTTCCACTGTGCCTGACAATTTTGCAAATACAAGTCTTTTAAAAAACTTTATTGTTTTTATGTAAATCATCGGAATTTGAAAACTGATGTTTTCATACTTCTTGCTGAAATGTTTTTGCATCGTCTCAAACTTGGTCTCAAAACAACCGTTGAAGTCTCAAGATCAATAATTATTTAAAAAACCTTGGCTTTTAAGCACAATGTTATTGCAAGTTATGGATCAATCAGTGCGGTCCGGCCTATTCGGAAACAAGGGACCACAAATCTGTCACTTATGCTCCGATTGTGACTAAAATTGATATATACATTGAAAATGATCAGTTGAGCAAACATATGACATTTGGTTTGAATTGGCTTAAGTTGGCTCTTACAATGCTCATTGTACAGCCAACAATCTAAAATGTAATTAGTCCTAAGATTAAAATAAAGACATGATTATTGTTTCAAATTATGCACCTTAATGGCACATTAACACTTTGCATAATGTGTAGGTTGTACTGTACAGGAAATCCTATAATTTGATTTCAGCAAATTTTGGTCAGATTTTTCTCTGGCCACCAGAGGGAGCCAAATCAGTAACTGCACGTCATTTTTGACATATACATGGAAAGCTTTACTGTATGTCTTTAAGCGAAGAGCATTTCTGAATGTTTTTCACTAAGCCTAACAATTTTGCAAATACAAGTCTTAAAAAACTTTCAGTAATATCATGGTTGAAAAAAGATGGAGAATAGACATTTCTTACTAATTCTTGAGTTTAAATCAAATTATTTTTGTCATATTGAAAATATTGAAAATATCATGACTTAAGCACAGTGTGGCTGAAGATTTGAATAAGTTGGTGTGAATTGGCTTATTCTGCCATAAAAGGCTAAAAATACACCAATAATTGTCTGAATATAACAAAATTTGACACAAATATACAAATTGACAAACTGACAGTGTATTATGATTTCGTTTGAAATTATACTACTCAATAGTCACAGTAATTGCAAGGTGGAAACTAATTCCCAATGGGGTGGTGCTAGGTTCCTTATTGCTCTAGACCGATAAATTCTCTCAAAAAATAGGTCTGCCATGGGCTTCTTGTAGCTCACCATGAAAACATCTGCCTTTGAAGATTAAGGTCGTGGGATTGATTCCCTCTACTGGTGTTGGATGGTGCTGTAGCAGTTGTTGTGAACACACACTTAATTATCTTAATCTTAATGAGGGGTTTTTCTTAAAAATACAGAATGTCCAGAGACATGAAATTTGTTTATGCTGCTACTTTGTCCTAAAATGGTGCGTGGTTCCTTGTTGCATCCTTTCAATAAATTGTTTCAAAAACTGCAGTTTTGCCACAGACGTCTTGTGGCTCAGCGTCAGAGCTTCTGCCTTTGAACTCTAGGGTTGTGGGTTCGAATCCCCGTCATGGATGTTAAAATGAGTTGCGTAGATTGTAGCAGATGTATCAGCTAGTGGCCTTAATCATAGGAAAAGGAGAACTTTCTTAAAAATCTGAAGATCTGCTGCAGTCTACGACCAGGGGCCACTGCATTACTCCTCGAGGACTTCCAGGTGCTTGGAGCCCGCAGATTGCCGCTTGCGGCTATATTTTTACATTTAGTATTGAACACAATATATTTAAGTAACTACATGTAACTGATTTCCTTCAGTTTGGCTGGGTATGTTTTACTTTTATTCCAGTTGTTTTCTGTGAGGCAGTACTTTACACTGTACTGCTTTAACTTCTCTTGTGACGTAATGAGGCTGAAATGTGGTCCAACTGCAATTTCTGGTTGTAGAGAAAAGGAATCTGTAGATGTATTAAAGTTCAGTTTGCACTTCAGAAGAGAGTGTTTGTACACTTGTGTGTAGTGTAACAGGGTGGTCTTCAGGACTGACATGGGGGTTCAGTGTGTGTTGATCTGAAGCCATGGTTCTGCTGTAGCTCTCTAAGCCTAGCCTGTTTGATCATCCTAAGGAAGATGGACTTGGACCTTCTCATTGAAGACTGAGAAGCAAACCTCAGAAAAGGTAACTGTGGTCTCAGTTTTTGTCAGATTTCACTGTAGTGTCATATTTTCTGTTCTGTGTTAGTAATTATGACCTTCAGTATCAAGCAGGTGTTTTAAACTGAAAGTGAGCAGGTCATGTGATTATTTCCTGTAAAGTCTGTATTGTTCTTTGAAAGTGGTTCACATTTGAATGAAACCTGTGTGTTTATATTTGATGTTTGTGTTTCTAAAAAGGCTGATGTTTAGTCTGAACACTACTTCTTCTGGGTCAAATGTGGCTGAGATTTGTTCTGTCAAAGTCAATCATTTTAAGGTTGTGTTTGTTTTGTGTGCTCAGAAAAATCAAGTTGTGAGGAGATAAAGATGAAAAAATGCACCTTCATAAGTAGTCAGTCAGTACACGGATCATTAATGCAGATCATTAATGCCCAGTAAGAATGAAAATCAAAGGTCATCTATGTTGGTAAAAATGATTGACATTGTTTTGTCTTTTATCTTTTCTTTTCATCTCTTCCTTGTGGAGTCAGAGGGAGGAGCTAAGATGCACAGAACAGATGCAAGAAAAAAATAAGGGCACAAAATATTTAACTCTATAAACACACTAATAATTTTCAATCAGCAATGTCACCTCAACAAATCAACTTACACAGTTCATGTTTTTTATTTGTATTTTCTTACTACTGTTCATTGATTAAAGTGATTACATTTGGTGTCAGATACTAGAAAGGTGCCCAGCACATTAATGTTGTCTGATTTATGAAAAACAATTGCAGATGTCATGGTAATACAGTGAACAATGGCAGAGAGATCCTCCACCCTGGGTGTCTCCCTAAATTTTTTTGTGAACACTTGAATAGAATAAAGAATCAGGGAGTTTGTGGTAAGCTCAGTACACTTTTCATTTTATGGCATTCAACCATCAGCTCGCTCATTCTGTTATGAAAGAAAAATAGCACCACCAATTGATGTAAAGTAAATTACCAATATAATAAATAAAAAATACAAATTTATTTCTGCTTGTGAGGTTTTATCAATGATGTCTATAAACACTTGTTTAAACAACTTGGTGTTGTGGTTGTGCAACATTCTGTGACACATTCGTGCTACTGTGCTCCAGTTGTTGAAGTGTTGAAACCTGAGAGTCAGAGAGTGGGAAGCGACTGGGATACAGCATTGGGATACTGGAGCTGGTTTTGGGTGAGGAAGAGAGATAGCAAATTATGAATGGAAAGCTGGCTGATTTTTGTGGATAAATAATGACTGAAGCCTTAATCCTTTCTATTGCTAAATAAGTGTGCACATTTGGGAAAGATTAAACTAAAGTAAATGATAAAGCATTACCATTAGACTTAAAAAAATGAAGTATTTCATTATATAATGGTTTTTATGTTGCATGGGTTATACATGAGTGTTTATGTACAAAGCAGTTAAAAAAATTAAAATGAAAAATCATGAATGTGATGAGTAAAGGATCTTATCTAGTGCAAGACAGTACTAGATTAGTGGAAAATTATATTTAAAAAACAATCCTATCCATGTGTCATGCTAGATTTTATGTCATATGTTGTTCTTGTAGTTTTTTTTTTTTATAAAAGGTATATAAATATTTATTAATCTAATTTAATTTGTCTACAAACCCTATTTCAGCACGCTGTGAATATTTTTCAGCTGAATTGTTCACAGGGAGCACTTCTGAGCTGTGGAAGAAGAGTAATAACTCTATGATGGAGTTTCATAATTCCAGCAGTGAAGGAGGAACTTTGGGACAAAAGTGAGTAGTTTCTATAAAGGCATCACTTTTCATCAGCGTTCAGTTTGTGACCACAGAGCGACTCATGACTGGATATTTCTGGGTAATTGACCGCTAGCAGTGACAGTAGTCAAGTTTCACCCGCCAAATTCAGCTATTAAATTTAATTAAAGAAAATAACTGAATTGCTGCAAATAATGTGTCTGTCTCAAAAGATCATAACAATATTTATTTGGCAATTTTCTTCAATAGCTGGTTCCCTTCAGGTGGGGGGGGGGTGTGGTGGGGGTGGTAGAGGGACTAATCAGATATGCAGCAGCAGACTGTACAAGTTGTGTAGTGCAAACCAAAGGTGTGTAGTAGTTTAGGGGGAGAGGGGAAAGAGATTCAATGACATGACCACACACATTCTGCTCTTCCTCTTTGTCTAGACCTTTCTCTTTCCTCTTTGTTCCTTCACTGCCCTTTGCTTAATGCAGATAGAAGTACAATAATACTGTGGTGTTGGCACAAGGGCCAGCCAGTAGCAGGTCACTACAATACTAAATATATTTAATCGGTGGTATCCTAGAAAGAAAGTGTGACCAAAATGTGAACATGAGAAGACAAAGCTAAAAGTCATTTTAAAATGGCACATATCATCCTGAATGCAGCAGCAGACGAGGAGAGCCCAGCTGTGCGTCCATAAAGAGTGACCGGTCCATGGAGAATTGTCCCGAATTCAGCAGTGGACCTGTGCCTTCTGACTTAGAGTAAGTTATCACTTTTCAGTATAACACTGATAAATGAAGAAACAACAGTTTTGAACGTTTAAATAACAGAGCAGACCTTCCTTCACTGCCGTCTGCTCTGTGCAGATAGAATTGAAATAATTCCAAATGTATTTCATCAGTGGTGTTCTAAAGAAAGAGGGAAAGTGTGACCAAAGTGTGAGAAAGAGAAGGCAAAGCTAAAAGTCATTTTAACATCGCACATATCATCTTGAATTTAGCAGTAAAGGAGAAGAGCCCAGCTGTGCGTCCATAAAGAGTGACCGGTCCATGGAGAATTGTCCCGAATTCAGCAGTGGACCTGTGACTTCTAATCCAGAGTATGTTATCACCCTTCAGTATAACACTGATAAGTGATGAAACAACAGTTTTGAATGTTTAAATGACAGAGCAGATCTTCCTTCACTGCCCTCTGCTCTGTGCAGATAGAAGTAAAATAATTCCAAATGTATTTCATCAGTGGTGTTCTAAAGAAAGAAGAAAAGTGTGGCCAAAGTATGAGAAAGAGAAGGCAAAGCTAAAAGTCATTTTAACATTGCACATATCATCTTGAATTCAGCAGTGGGGCAGAAGAGCCCAGCTGTGCGTCCATAGAGAGTGACCGGTCCATGGAGAATTGTCCTGAATTCAGCCATGGGCCTGTGCCTTCTGACTTCGAGTAAGTTATTACCCTTTGTGTAACACTGATGTCTAATGAAACAATAGTTCTGAATGTTTAAAAAACAGAGCACAGCACACATTTTGGTTGCCTCATGGCTATGGTAACAGTGGACAAACAGTCCAATATGCCCCATCACTGACTGTGTTGCAGAGTCATGAATGGTCTGTAGAAATTAGAAATGGTATGCAGACAAATATTCATGTAGCCTAAAATACAGTGGGCCTCGTTCATTAATCAAACAGAACAAATCTGCATGGAACTCATGCCCTAAAGACATTTTATTATTTTTCTGCATTCATAGACGTTTTCATGGGGCTGAAATGTTTGCAAGTGCAAGCTAATTTTTTTTTTTCCATTTGGTCACATCACTCCCAACACAAAACTCAAGCTCCACTGTTGTCTTCCATTAAACAATCCTGGTCACAGAATAGGCTAATTTTTATCTTTTGTTACAGGCAACTATGACAAGGAATCACTTACTTAAAAAAAGAATATAGCTTTTAGATAACAAATTCTTCAAACAGTGAAAACAGGAAGAAATTGTGAGCTATCAGAGGGATCAAGTGCAGTTTCTTAAATTATGGCTTCACAACAGATAACTTAAAGACCTCAGGGACATGGCTGAGGTTGGGTTAATTACTTCACTGATCATTTGTTACTCTAGAAACATTTTTTTTTTTATTGCAATGTGTACTTCATCTGATTCAGTCCATTTTGTGATCGAGACAAACCTAAAGAAGAAACTACTAAATTACGAACACATTAAGTTCAAATATTGCGCAATAAAATCATATGAAAACAGATCATATGTTGTAGGTAGTTTTGCCCATTTTGAATTGTGTTCATCATGTTTGTGTTACTCTGTTTTGTCTCCATCAGGCAGCCCTGCACAGAAACAGCACTGCAGACACACAAAGAAGCACAAGTAACTGGGAATCTGCAGCAAGATGTTTACCAACCAGTAGATGATGTCCTGCAGAGAGTCTTAGAGAGACACAAAACCTGCATGAAGACCAAATATGAGAGCTTATTTGAGGGAATCAAAACAAAAGAAAATAAAGTTTTCCTCAACAGGATTTACACACAGCTCTACATTGTAGAAGGAGAAAGTGAAGGAGTGAATGAAGAACATGAGGTTTCACTGATACATCCTTACAAAACTTCCAGGAAACACTTAAAAGATGCTCCAATTGATTGCTCAGATATATTTAAACCTCTACAAGATCCCAAAAGAGAAATGCAAGAAAAGAACATTAGAACTGCAGTGTTAAATTCAAAACCAGAAATCCAACACAAAGAAAGTACAAAAGAAATAAAAGATGACAGCAGACCAAAAATTCAGGAATTTAGAGCTGTGCTGACTAAAGGAATTGCTGGCATTGGAAAAACTGTCTCTGTGCAGAAGTTCATTCTGGACTGGGCTCAAGGAAAAGCCAATCAGGATGTAGATTTCATGTTTGTGCTTCCGTTCCGGGAGCTAAACTTGATTAAAGATGATCAATACAGTCTTCATGGACTTCTGTGTGACTTCCATCCTGAGCTCAAAGATTTGGTCCCAAAGATTTTTGATCAGCTCAAAGCTGTGTTTATATTTGATGGTCTGGATGAAAGCAGAATTCCACTGAACTTTGAACAGTGTGAGAAAGTATATGACATCACCATGACATCATCAGTGGGTGTGTTGATGACAAACCTCATCAAAGGAGAGCTGCTTCCCTCTGCTCTGATCTGGATAACCTCCAGACCAGCAGCAGCCGATCAGATCCCTCCTAAATACATCAACCGTGTGACAGAAATTCAGGGATTCAGTGACCCACAGAAGGAGGAGTACTTCAGGAAGAGGATCAGTGATGAAGACCAAGCCAAGAGAATCATCTCACACATTAAAAAAGTGAGGAGCCTCCACATCATGTGCCACATTCCAGTCTTCTGCTGGATCTCAGCCACTGTTCTTCAGAGAATCATGAAACAGCGTCATACAGAAATCCCTAAAACTCTGACTGAAATGTACTCACACTTCATGCTCACTCAGACAACCATGAAGAATCAGAAGTTTGAGGAGAACGATGAGAAAGACCCAAAGAAACTGCTGGAATTAAACAGAACCATTCTTCTGAAACTGGCTGAACTGGCTTTCAAACAGCTGATGAAGGGCAATGTGATGTTCTATGAAGAGGACCTGAGAGAGAGCAGCATTGATGTCACTGAGGCCTCAGTGTATTCTGGGATTTTCACTGAGATCTTTAGAGAGGAATGTGTGCTTCACCAGAGGAAGGTCTACTGCTTTGTTCACTTGAGCTTTCAGGAGTTCCTGGCTGCTGTTTATGTGTTTCATTGCTTCTTAAACAAGAATATGGAGCCACTGCAGATATTTAAACCACAATACAGTGAGTGGGACAAGAATATTCAATTGAAAGAGCTTCTAAAGGGAGCAGTGGATAAAGCATTACAGAGTGAAAATGGACACCTGGATCTTTTCCTTCGTTTCCTGCTAGGCATCTCACTGGAGCCCAATCAGAGACTCCTGCAAGGTCTACTGACACACATACAGGGCAGCTCAAACAGAATCACAGAGTACATAAAGAGATTCATCAATAGAGATGATAAACAATATTATATCTCAACTGAGAGATCCATCAATCTTTTCTTCTGTCTGTCTGAAATGAATGACCAGTCTCTCTCCAGAGATCTTCAGCGGTATCTAAGATCAGATAAACATTCAGAAGAGAAGCTTTCTCCTGAACAGTGTTCAGCACTAGTCTGCATGCTTCTGATCTCAGAGGAGGAGCTGGATAAGCTGGACCTGAAGAAATACAACACATCAGAGGAGGGTTATATGAGACTGATCCCAGCTGTGACTGTCACCAGAAAGGCTTTGTGAGTGATGTTTCTACATTGATCTAATATATCAATTAATTATTTGAATATTGATTTTAAGTCAGTGCCTGCTATAGGCAGACTAGGCAATTTCCCAAGGCCTTAGTACTGATGGAAAGAATAAATTAACATTCATTTTCTCACAGTACACACTGGTTGTTGCTAGTCATAAAATCTGTCATTGATTTAAGGCAGACCCTAAAAAGGCCAGTTAGATTATTTCATATAATAAGAGGGTGCTCTCCTTATATGAAATAATCTAACTGGCCTTTTTAGAACGAGTCTGCAGTTTCCCTCTCCAGAGCACAACTCACAAACTTACATGCAAACAATTTGTAACACTGTGTTGTGATGCTATTCTCAAAGCAATGGCTTTTATCTGCAAAAGCAGAATTCAAAATTAAGCAAGCTGAAACAGAAACACTTGCATGTGATACAGGGACACAAATTTATTAGCCAGTACATTACTTGCCATGGTTTGATTTATTGTATTAGGTGTCTCGAAAATTACTTGCTGTAAAACTGCAATTCCTTTAATTATGCCTGCAGTCATCAAATTATATTCTTTCTTGTTCTGCACACAGAAGAACATCTGGGAAACATATTAGTTTTTACTAATGACAGATATCAAATAAATAAAAAAAAATCCTCTGACACTTTATTTTACAACTCTTTTTTACAGTTGTTCTATTTTCTGTGTTATTTCCTTCAGACTAGATGGTTGTAATCTCACCACAAATTCCTGTAAAACTCTTTGCTCAGTTCTACAATCAGCAAACTCCCTCCTAATTGAATTGGACCTCAGTAATAATGACCTGCATGATTCAGGAGTGGGGCTGCTCTCTGTTGGACTGAAGGATTCATACTGTCGACTGGAGATGCTCAGGTTATCTTTCTCTAAATTCTTTCCAAAATGGAAAAAGCTGAGAAGGCACAATAGACTGTGAACTTCTCACAGCACCATTTTTGGTTTCTTCTTGTTTTTAATGTAGAATTCTACATAATACAAGTTTACTACAATTGTCCATATTTAAAGCCATTTTAAAACATGTATTGTGGTGTCTGGGATATGACAATATAGAAAACAGCATTGTTATGCATTTCAAGCATTGTCAATGGGTTTTATAGATCTAGTTTTCATTTGTAACGCACTTGCTTCTAACAGTAGTCATTTGTTCCCATTATTTAATATAAATACTTTGGTCCAATGACAGGCCTTTTTCTCTTTTCATAACTACTGTTGTATATTTGTTGCCACTATTGTTGTCAAATCTTTCTTTTCTATACATATCACTCTTTTTGTGTTATTGTTTTGCTATCCAGTGTTGACCAGAGTAGGAGGGTCCCTCTTAAGTTTTCCTCATATTGCTCTTATGAAGGTTTTCATTACTACTTTGGTCTTAAACCCAGATTTCGCTAAAGCTGATTTTTGGCAACATATTATAAAAAGTGCTATATAAATAAATTTGAATTTAAATGACTTAAGCCAGCAACATCCCAGGGGAGCACCACTGAGTGTAGTCTGTCTTTACAATATCAGGCTGTTCATTGGCTGTTGTCTGATGCCCCTACCTAGTCCACAACAATGTGTGTTCTGATATCACACAGTGCAAGAGGGATCTCTTAGAATTTCTTTTCTTAACTTTGAAAATGGATAGCACGTTCTTGGCTGAAATTTCTGAGAAATGTAACAGCTGACTTCTTTTGATTTTTAGAAGCGATGAACATGGGCTTCGTAAACGATGCATCTGTTTAGTTAATTGACATTCAGTCTTTTATGTCTTTTATACAGATTGAGGACTGTATAAAAGACATAAAAAACTGGATGTCGAGTAACTTTCTCCTTATTAACTCGGATAAAACAGAGGTTCTACTTCTTGGTCCAAAAGCAGCTAGAAACAAATTGTCTAATTTAACACTTAAATTTAACAATTTCTCAGTTGCATCAAGATCATCTGTAAAAAACATCTTGGTCCCTGATCTGTCCTTCGATGCACATATAACTAATATTACTAGAACAGCCTTCCTGCATCTCCGCAATATTGCTAAATTAAGAAATACAAATACAGGATGCAGAAAAGTTAGTTCACGCATTTATTACTTCAAGGCTAGATTACTGTAATGCCCTGCTGGCTAGATGTCCGAGCAAAAGCCTTAACAAGCTTCAGCTAGTCCAGAATGCTGCAGCCAGAGTTCTTACTAGAACCAGAAAATTTGACCATGTCAGCCCAGTTCTATCAAACCTACACTGGTTACCAGTTAAATTTCACATTGATTATAAAATTATCTTACTGACTTATAAAGCTGTAAACAGTACCTGAGTGAACTTCTCTCCCACTATGAACTATCATGCCTACTTAGATCACAAGGTGCTAGCTTACTATTAGTACCTAGAATTAATAAAATTATGTCAGGGGGGAGAGCTTTCTCATACAAAGCCCCCCAGCTTTGGAATAGTCTTCCTGTTAATGTTCAGGACTCAGACACAGCCTCAGTCTTTAAGTCTAGGCTAAAAACTTACTTGTATAGTCAAGCCTTTGGTAATTAGTTTTCCCTGTCAATTCTATACCTGCCAGAGTCTCTGCTGCTCTGCTAACACTGTAATCTGTGATCAGTCACCCATTACAGAACTGACTCTGTGTGTTTTTCCTTCCTTTCTTTTCTTTGCCGATTTGAACAGCTGCCCATCCTGTGCATCTGATGCTGCTGCCTCTTCTGCCTTGATCGGGTGCCACTGCTGCCAGCCCTCTGGACCGGCTTACCACCATTGAGCTTCATGCAGTACAACGCTGTGCAACCCTCACCCTCACAACCTGACCCCACTGATGCTGCTGCTGCATGAACTAAACTAATCAAATTAATCATTTGCTCCACCTGTTTCCCCGCTTTTGTACTATAATACTTTATACTAACAATGTTTACTATCCGATGTCGACCAGAGGAGGATGGGTTCCCCTTCTGAGTCTTGGTTCCTCTTAAGGTTTCTTCCTGTTTCTTAGGGAGTTTTTCCTTGCCACTGTTGCCACTGGCTTGCTCATGGGGGCTTGGACCCAGATTTCTTTCTGAAATGCTGATTTCTTTGTAAAGCTGCTTTGTGACAACACCTGTTGTGAAAAATTGCTATATAAATAAACTTTGCTTGCTTGCTTGCTTGCTTTAAGCCCTGGTCATATTGTTAGGAAATCATGAGCTTAATCCCTAGCAATGCCACAACCCTCTAGGCACAGGAGTCGAAGAAAGCATAAGAGTACACAAATTAATTTTTATTTACAGCAGAGATCAATCTAGTAGGCTTATATTCATTAAAACACACCTGCTTTAGCTGAACACAAAAGCTTTTTGCTTGTTTATTGCCCCCTGTGAAGCATACATTTCCAGATGCAAAGACAAAGTGGCACATGGAGATTAATGTCACTCCATTCCAATTCCCTGATTTTTGTATTTTCTCTGCCTTTATAGACTAGCTGGCTGTAATCTCACCTCAAATTCCTGTGAAAAACTAGCATCAGCTCTACAATCAGCAGACTCCTCACTGAAAGAGCTGGACCTCAGTAACAACAACCTGCATGATTCAGGAGTGGAGCTGCTCTCTGCTGGACTGAAGAGTTCACACTGTAAACTGGAGACACTCATGTGAGCTTTCTGTGAACTCGAAAAACTGAAACAGTTTACGACAACAAGGGACAGTTGCAAATAAAAGATACATTATTTAGAATTTTGAATTTTTCTGAATTTAACAGATTTTGAGACTCTAACTGTAACAGCAATATATACATACAGAATAATTATTTTTGTGAGTTGTATGAACAACACTTTTTTTCTTTAATGCCATTCAGAAAAACTTCTTTGTATGCATTTTATGATTGGAATTTCTCCCCTGTTGCAGACTAGCTTTCTGTAATCTTGGGGGGAATGCTTGTGAAAGTCTCTGCTCTGCTCTACAATCAGTAAAGTCCTCCCTGAAAGAGCTGGACCTCAGTAACAATGACCTGCATGATTCAGGAGTGGGGCTGCTCTCTACTGGACTGAAGAGTTCATACTGTAAACTGGAGATACTTAGGTGAACTTATGTGAATTAGAATCTAAATGATAAAAGTTGATTTTTAGTTTTATTCAGATATTACTATAGTTGATCATGTTGTTGTAGATATGAGATGTTATTCAGCCACCTCAGGATGTGCAAAATACTTTTTTATAAGGATAGAGGCACAGATGGTTAATGAGACATTTTGAATAATGTGATTTGGACTATGTGTTTCAAATTACTCTAAAGATGTTTAATAGGTGGTCAAATCATTACATTTTGATGGAAGGTTATGGAAAAACAAGAGAATTGTCTTTCAGATAATATGATGAATTATGCTTAATATGTCCAAAGTAAAAAGTAAAAAATCTAAACAGGATAGGACTTCCCTTAGTGGTAAGGTTTCTGCCACACGCTCTTGTGAGAGTAGTGAGGGCAATAAGGGAACTACATTCACATAAAGGAATATAGAATAAAAGAAGCACAGGTAGCGCAAGAGTGTTCATCAGTACTCACTGAAAAGGTGCAAAAAGATCAAATCTGATGTTATGTAAAAAAATATATTTCACTCACTAACCAAAGAGAGACCAACCCCTTTTATGCCTCCTCTCCTCTTTTGAGCTATACTTTCTTAAGAAAGTAGGAAAGGAAACAAACATTGAATATAGAGACAGCATGGTTGCTGAAAAGTAGGGAGCACTAAAATAGTTTGGCAAAGCTGTTTTGTCTCCTTTGACCATAACTTGAACATGCAGTTTTTACTTATTTTACTTATTCGCATATTTCTTCATGAACAGCTAAGTAAACTGTTGCATCAGTTTGTATATTGTTACATTTTATCAAATTGTTTTGTTATGTTGTACTGAACTGCAGCTGGTTTTTGCTGTATGTAAATGGTAGGGGTGGGAATCTCTAGGCACCTCAAGATTCGATTCGATTACGATTCAGAGGGCTGCGATGCGATTATAAAATGATTATCGATGCATCTTGATACATCTTTTTTATCTATACAGTGTTTCTATTTTCTCACTGTCTGAGGACTTGGTACTTTTAAAACAAAGTATTTGTAATGATCCATAATGAATTTACTTCCAATATCTTTTATCAATAAATCAAATGGAAGTGATGTGGCAAGTGAACTACTGGGAGATTCACTTGAAATAGGCCCCAAATATTCTGTTGTAACTCCCATTAGGATGAAGCAATCTGAACCAAAAAAATACACTACATACTTTGACATATGTGTAAGTATTGCATTACATGTGATGCTGGAAGTGACCTCTGTTTTCTGCCAGACACATGAAGGGATACAGGGGAATGGTCCCGTTAGTTGCAAATGGAGGTTAAACGTCACAACGGCCGTCTGGCGCCTGCCTCATTGCTCCGACGCACGGGCATCCCAGCTTGTTCGAAGCTCCATATACTGAGGAGCACATTGCATGTTGTTTCGTTCAGATTGATTCGTCCTAGCAAAAGTTATTACAGAATATTCGGGGCCTCTTTCGAGTAAATCTCCCTGTAGAAGGCGCATTCACTGCTCTTGTTCAGAGTATGAGACGCTGCTGCCACTCATCTGCAATAAAATCCGCAGTTACGGTGAAATAAGATCCAGTGGTAATGGATGACCACGCAGCACGTTACAGCCGTCCTACCCATTTAATTCAGTGATTTTATAACTTCGGTTTTGATCTCATTGTAGAGACAGGAGGCGGGGGGTCGCTGTGTCAGTAAAATATCTTCGAGGCAGGATGTGTGCAACATAGCGTGAAAGCCCTGTTTCGCAACGTCCAGACTGCAGGTCACATAGCAACGATGCGTTATTCGCATTTATAAGCAGTGCAGTTGTTTTCCTGGTACGTTAAATCTGCAACGAGAAACTGTCAAACACTAAACAGTTGGGAAGCTGAAGTCGCTTCTCTTTCGAATTTTCCCGTTCCACCTTAAATGGTGCCACATTTACATTCGGCGCCTCAGTCAGATTTTAAGGTGGAATGGGAAAATTCAAACAAGAAGCTGGAGAAGAAGTAAGTCTGTGCTCTCATTTATATTGTTTAGCCTACACTAGGACATTATCACATACTGACACATATTGGACATTAAATGTTGTGGCTCCCAAGGTGGTCTGATTTTTGTTGAAAGGACAAAATGGCTCTTCTTATCATTTGGGTTGTGATTCCTGATGTAACCTGGCTTTTAATGCAGAGGGAGCCAGTCAGATTTCTCGCTCATCCAGTTGTGTCTTTGTTATGTGCCGCCACAGACTGTCCGGGCACTGCACTTACCCACTTTCAAGTTCCACCTTTTACGTTCCGTCAACCTTACGTTATAAATTAAATATTTAGAAAATCGATTTTTGACATTTGTGAATCGATTCAGAATCGTTCACATCTGCATCGCAATGCATCTAAGAATCGATTTTTTCCCACACCCCTAGTAAATGGCATCTGTCTCTCATTTCCCTTCATTTCTGCAGATTGTCTGGTTGTATGGTCAAAGTTAAAGGCTGTTCTTCTCTGGCATCAGCTCTGAAACTAGACCCATCCCACGTAAGAGAACTAGATCTGACCTATAATTACCCAGGAGAGTCTGGAGAAAAGCTGCTGTCTGATCTACTGGAGAATCCACACTGCACACTGGACACACTTGGGTATGGAAAACTCTTTAGGAATGATTTCAAACACAAACTGATTAGATTCAGTGGAGTATTCTTGGACTGTTGGGATTCTTTTGGTGGTTTTGGTTCCTCAAGAGAAATCCAAAATTTATATGGAGGTAATAAGGGATGTCTAGAGTTGTTAGTCTTTTTTTTCTTTAAGAATGATTTTATGTTAATAACAGATTTTTAATTGATAAGAGGAGCCAAAAGAAGCATGAACACTTCTATAACATCTAAATATTTTCATCTAAACATTTAGAGCCCTACCACATTTTACATTCATCTGGCCAGTAAACATTTAGAGATATTTTTCTATAAAGATTCATTTTATTTTTCAAAGAGAAATGCAAAGCTTTCCTTTATGAATTTGTTTTTGTTGGATACAGATAGTGTACCCCTGTGCTAAACCTAAATAAATTTATTCAATCAGTCATTTAGAAAGACAGATTCAGTTATTTCACTTGCACTGGAAATTATTTATTTAGCTGCATGTGCATGTGTTAAGTGTGTGAGTAAAAGAAATTGCAGAGAGAGAGAGAGAAGGTGTACTTTCTGTTTTACTTTAAATTAATGCATTTGATGGTTTGTATAAAAGAGTGTGTGTATTTCCTCTGTAGGGTGGAACATGGAGGGATGATCAGGATGAAACCAGGACTAAAGAAATGTAAGTTCATCTGTGTCACTCCATTGCTGCATATTCTTCACTGCATGTTGTAGTTCAATACCTAGAGCCATCCTTTATGACTCTTTATGCCTCTGAACTTTATGCAAGTTGAGCATGAGTCATGAGTGCTTTATTAACCAGCTGTTGTTGGCCGTGCATACAGAATTTTCTCTAAATGTTCACTCTAAATCTAAGCTATGCCTCATTCTCTTAGCAGTTTGCTCTTGACTGATTCTAAATTCTTCCTAAACTGACATTTAAAAAACATTTCTTGAACATTCTACAGTATATTCAGTGAAAGTGGACTGATAGCTTCAGAATTTTTTGACCAATTTTTCATATTTTACATTGTAAAATATTTTATTTGTTTCAGGACAAGCATTATATCCTGGCATGAAAAAGCCCTCCTCTCGAATATTTTCTTTCATTCCAAACATTTGAAGTACTTTAAAAAAAGCTTATGATAATTTTTTTCTTTTTTTCCATTTTTTTTTAAAAAGTACAGTGACAGCAGTCATGATGCAAAATGAGCAGCAGATTAGTATGTGATTAAACACAATCGCCATTCTCAAAATAACTTTCAGGCTTTGTAAATCAAATTCTGGGTGCTAATTTCATCTATTTCATCATATGAATTTAGTAATTAAAAAATGGACAGCAAAAGCTATTTTGCTCGTTTGAAAGACGCAATCCTCTATACATTCTTTTGTGGTTGTGTTTTTCAGTGTCGTCAAGTTCATACATGTTTTTACATGTAAAAATTTAGTAAAACAGGGTGTCAGTGTTTGAAGTCTCTCCAAGTGAGACTAAAATACTAAGCAAAAACACTTAAAAACTACAGACAGAAAAACAAGCAGAAGTCACTTTTTTAGCACTCTGCATGTGCTCAATCTAATGGTTAACTATTATGTTTTGACAAAAAATATAAACACAGGAAATCTTAGCTCAAGGGTATATCTACACAGATACAGTGGTGTGAAAAAGTGTTTGCCCCCTTCCTGATTTCTTATTCTTTTGCATGTTTGTCACACACTGTTTCAGATCACCAAACAAATTTACATATCAGACAAAGATAACACAAGTAAACACAAAATGCAGTTTATAAATGAAGGTCTTTATTATTAAGGGAAAAAGAAATCCAAACCTACAGGGCCCTGTGTGAAAAAGTGATTGCCCCCCTGTTAAAACATAAATTAACTGTGGTTTATCACATCTTTGGAAAGCTGAGTTCAATTTCCCTAGCCACACCCAGGCCTGATTACTGCCACACCTGTTCTCAATCAAGAAATCACTTAAATAGGACCTGCCTGACAAAGTGAAGTAGACCAAAAGATCCTCAAAAGCTAGACATCATGCTGCAATCCAAAGAAATTCAGAAACGATGAGAAACAAAGTGGTGAACCTTCCCAGGAGTGGCCGGCCGACCAAAATTACCCCAAGAGCATAGCGACGACTCATCCAAGAGGTCACAAAAGACCCCACAACAACATCCAAAGAACTGCAGGCCTCACTTGCCTCAGTTAAGGTCAGTGTTCATGACTCCACCATAAGAAAGAGACTGGGCAAAAATGGCCTGAATGGCAGAGTTCCAAGACGAAAACCACTGCTGAGCAAAAAGAACATAAAGGCTTATCTCAGTTTTGCCAGAAAACATCTTGATGATCCCCAAGACTTTTGGGAGAATACTCTGTGGACTGACAAAAGTTGAACTTTTTGGAAGGTGTATGTCCCATTAAATCTGGCGTAGAAGTAACACAGCATTTCAGAAAAGGAACATCATACCAACAGTAAAATATGGTGGTGGTAGTGTGATGGTCTGGGGCTGTTTTGCTGCTTCAGGACCTGGAAGACTTGCTGTGGTAAATGGAACCATGAATTCTGCTGTCTACCAAAAAATCCTGAAGGAGAATGTCTGGCCATCTGTTCGTGACTTCAAGCTGAAGCGCACTTGGGTTCTGCAGGAGGACCATGATCCAAAACATACCAGCAAGTCCACCTCTGAATGGCTTAAGAAAAACAAAATTAAGACTTCGGAGTGGCCTAGTCAAAGTCCTGACCTGAATCCAATTGAGATGCTGTGGCATGACCTTAAAAAAGGCGGTTCATGCTCGGAAACCCTCCAATGTGGCTGAATTACAACAGTTCTGCAAAGACGAGTGGGCCAAAATTCTTCCACAGCGCTGTAAAAGACTCATTGCCAGTTATCGCAAACTCTTGATTGCAGTTGTTGCTGCTAAGGGTGGCCCAACCAGTTATTAGGTTTAGGGGGCAATCACTTTTTCACACAGGACCCTGTAGGTTTGGATTTCTTTTTCCCTTAATAATAAAGACCTTCATTTATAAACTGCATTTTATGTTTAGTTGTGATCTGAAACATTTAAGTGTGACAAACATGCAAAAGATTAAGAAATCAGGAAGGGGCCAAACACTTTTTCACACCACTGTATTTAGCCTAACCTATATTTGTGTGTGTGTACAACAAAGCAGTTTTGTAAGTTGCTCTGGGTAAAAGTGTCTCCTAAATGCTGCTAATGTGAATGGGTATATTGATCCTGTTTGTATTTTCTCATTCATCTGTGTTTTTGTGCAGATTCCTGTGAGATCACGCTGGACCCAAACACAGCAAATAGTGAACTCTTTCTGTCTGAGGAGAACAGAAAGGCAAACTGTGTGAAAGAAGAACAGCCGTATCCAGATCATCCGGACAGATTTGATTTCTGTAGGCAGGTTATGTCTAAAGAGAGTCTGACTGGACGCTGTTACTGGGAGGCTGAGTACAGTGGGGTTGGGGTTGCTTTTTCAGTGTCATATAAAGGAATCAGCAGGAAAGGACGCAGCAACGACTGTTGGTTTGGATACAATGATCAGTCCTGGAGTCTGTTCTGCTCTGGTACTAGTTACTCTGCCTGGCACAATGAAAAGGAATCTACCATACCTGACCCTCCTTCACCCTCCTGCAGAGTGGGAGTGTATCTGGACTGGGGGTCCGGCACTCTGTCCTTCTACAGCATTTTACCTGACACAATGACCCACTTACATACATTCCACACCAGATTTACTGAGCCACTCTACGCTGGGTTTTGGGTTGCTGATGGGTCCTCGGGTGTATATGTGAGAAAAGCCGACTGAGTACTGGAGGACCAGATGCATCAAGACGAAACAACACGTGGTAACAACACGTCATAAAAATATATATTAAGGATTCATTAGTCCATGACTACACATTGGAAGTAAATGTGTTCAGGAGTTCTGGTGAAGTGGTAAAACCTAGAATGTAGATATCAGATTTAATTAAATCAAATGGAATGTAGTTGGAGCACATTACACCAGTATAAAGATCTGTATGCTGACTGCAGTTAGTTAACTACTTGTATGTAAGTCACTCTATCTATTAAAAGAATATAAACACGCCTCTCATATTACTCCAGACTGGTCAGCTAGCAGTTTTTAGAAAAAGAAACAAGGATGGTAAATCAGCATTTAGCTACCCAAACCTGGAATTAGCTGCCAGAAAAATCTCAAATTTGCTCCAAATTGTGCCAACTTTCAGTCCAACTTTCAGAATACTTTTTTGTCCTGTGCCTGAGACACTTTAGCACTTTCTTTTTAGATTTTTGTCTAGTATTTTTATTATTTGTCTAAATTGTTCTTTTTCATGCTGTTGTTTATTTCACTTTTATTTATGCGAAACATTTGTCTTTCTGTATGAGGTGTTATATAATAAACTTGCCTTATCCTACCTTATCTTTGTTGTTTTTTGTGTTTGTTGTCTTTTTATATCAAAGATATTTAGGATATATCCATTAATACAAATCAGTATGAGTTGTTTTGTGTTCATTGATTTTAGTAATTTGTTGACTTTATCTAGTACTATAGTTATAGCACTATAACAGGTATTAATGGTCTCTGAAAATTAGAATGCAGAGAGCACTTTGCTAACTGTTAAATACAAGCACTAGTTTATTTTCCTCATGTTTCACACACAACAAACAACTGTAGCTTATTGTGTGTAAATAAATAAGTACATAGACAACCATGATGATATTTGCATTCTTATGCATTTATTCAATTTACGTTGAATCTATTAAATATTAAAGCATTTCACTGAATAAAGTTTTTTGAGTCATTTGGTTTTATATTCAAGCAAATTTCTGTGAGCTCCACCACTTTAACTACTCTTGCGATGTAATATGCCTGAAATGTGGTCCGACTGCTTTTTCTGGTTGTAGAGAAAGGGGAAGCTGCAGGTGTATTAAGCTTCAGTGACAGAGTGAGTATTTATAGACGTGTGTGTAACAAAGTGGTCTTCAGGACTGGAATGGGGGGTTCAGTGTGTGTGATTGCCTGAAGTTATGTTTTCTGCTGTAGCTCTCTCAACTCTGTTTGATCATCCTAATAAAGGAATGAAAATGGACTTTCTCCATGAAGACTAAGAGCCAAACCTTAGAAAAGATAACAGTTCTTCATTTTTTACAGATATCACTACAGTCTCCTATTGTTCACTCTGTATTAGCAATTATGACTTTCAATATTAAGCAGGTTTTTTAACTGAAGGAGGGCTGGCGGGTGAGGTGATCAATAAAGCAGGTTATGTGTTCATTTCCTGTGAAGTCTGTCTTGCTGTAAGATAAGGCTGAAAGGTTTATATTTCCACTTACTATTTTTGTTAAGCATCAAGATAACTTGGCAGTAAAAATATGTAGTAATCATGCATTAAATATTATTTGAAACATGCATGGTTTCTGAAAAAATCCATGATGCTGGTCTAGTAGAACAGATATATGGTAATATTTGAAGCAGAAAGAGTTTTGTTTATTAGTCTTTTTAACCTACTTCTGTCTACACTCAATGGTCAAATTAGTTCAAGAGGCATGGTGGGCTTTAATGACATGGTTTGGGGTTTAGACCATTAATTTTTGTTTTCAGAAATCGCTCATCATACAGTACTGTGCAAAAATCGGTGACTATCTTCATTTATTTAATTTCCAATCAAAATGCCATTAGTTCTTAGTTCATTTTCAGTGTCAGGAAAAAAAGAAAGCATATATTATGTTTATGTTAAATGTAATATTTTTTTTCAGTATTACAGTGTCCACACCTTTGTTACAGTGCCATTCTTTTCAGCAGACTTGTTTCCAGTTTTTCAAAAGTTCAGTTCGGGAATTGGTTCACATAACGTCATACAACTTCAATCAAAAAGACCGAGAAAAAGTTTTTTTTTTAAATGACTTTTTTAATTAAGAGGATGGCATCCCCTTATCCCTTTCTTTAGATAAAGCTCCGTCTATGCAACTGTTCATTTCAAATCAGCATACATTGAGTGTTTCTGAATTTGGGATCAGTAGTAAACATGAACTCACCTCATGTTTCTTGTTCTTGTATGTTTTTTCCTCACTGTTGTGTCTTATTAAGCAGCACAGTGTAAAGAAAGAAATAGCATCCTTCTCATAACTATATCTGCTAAATGTTTGCTCAGGCACTGATTCACACCATGGCTGATCTATCAACCTGTGCACAGAAGCTTTTTGCACACAAACACAAGATCACAGCTAAACTGCAAGTTTAGCTCATCTAACTTCATTAATGTGCGGTGCAAAAAAAGTGTGTTTTATAACATAATAGAGAAAGATTTAAAGAATAAAGACAGATTTAAAATGAATGCGTAGAAGTCAAACGAAAGAAAAATAAATCCATAATGTATTTTTGTTTATTGTTGTTTATAGAAGGATTCAATTTTGTATTCAAAGGTGTAACAGGCTGGTCTTCAGGACTAACATGGGGGTCCAGTGTGTGTTGATCTGAAGTCATGGTTCTGCTGTAGTTTGATCATCCTAATAAAGATGGACTTGGACCTTCTCACTGAAGACGAGAAGAACACTGAGAAGCAAACCTCAGAAAATGTAACTGTGGTCTCAGTTTTTCTCAGATTTCACTGTAGTATCATATTTTCAGTTCTTTGTTAGTAATTATGACCTTCAGTATCAAGCAGGTGTTTTAAACTGAAAGAGGGCTGAAAGTGAGCAGGTCACCTGATTATTTCCTGTAATGACTGTATTTCTCTTTGAAAGGGGTTCAAATCTGAATGAAAACAGTGTGTTTATATTTGATGTTTGTGTTTTTAAAAAAGGCTGATGTTTGGTCTGAACATTGCTTTTTCTGGACTATCCTTGGCTGAGATTTCTTCTGTCAAAGTCAATCATCTTTAAGAATGTGTTTGTTTTGTGTGCTCAGAGAAATCAAGGTGTGAGTAGATAAAGATAAAAAACACATGATCATGAGTAGTCAGTCGATCCTCGGATCATTAATGCAGATCATTAATGCACAGTAAAAATGAAATTTGAAAGTCATCTTAATTAGTAAACATGACTGGCATTGTTTTGTCCTTTAGCTTTTCTTTGCACCTCTTCCTTGTGGAGTCAGAGGGAGGAGCTAAGATAAAAAGGAATGAGGGCAATAAAATAATAATTTTCAATCAGCAACGTTACCTCAACAAATCAACTTACTCAGTTTATATTATTTTACTACTTTTCATTGATTAAAGTGATTACATTTGGTATCAAGTACTACAAAAGTGCCCAGCACAATGATGTCCGTTTAATGAACACTTGGCAATGTCAAGCTAATACAGTGAACAATGGCAGAGAGATCTTCCACCCTGGGTGTCTCCCTAAAATTGAATAGAATACAGTGTCTGGGAGTTTGTGGTAAGCTCAGTACACTTTCTTTTTATGGCATTCAATCATTAGCTCTCTCATTCTGTTACGCAATAAGAATAGCACTACCAATTAAGTTAAAGATAAATTATCATAATATTTTATTAAAATTAATTTCTGCTTGTTAGCTTTTATTAATGGTCTCTATAAACTCTTAGGCGTTGGGGTTTTGTGACACATTTGTGCTGCCGTGCTTATGTTGTTTTGCTGGAAAGTTTCTAGCGAACAAACCAGCAACTGACATACAGTTCACCAACATTAAATTTTTACTGATTGCTTTTTGTCGCAAAATCATTTGTCACAAAATCAGAACTTTGATGAGGGTAAAGGTAAAAGTTCCCAAAGTCAGTCTTTAGAACTCCATACTCCACACATTTTGTGTTCCCTACTCTAACACACCTGACACAACATAAGGGGAGCTTGAAAATTAGTTAATTAAGTGAATCAGTTTTATCAGATGAGAGAAAGCACAAAAATTTGCATACTGTGGGATCCTGACTTTGAGAGCCCTTGTTCTAGAAGAACAGTATATTTGATTATCGAAAATTCAAATTGCAATTAAGATTTTAAAAATGTTTGTAAATACTTACATTTACAGCATTTAGCAGAACCTCTTAATTAGAGCAACCTTAAAAGTATGTTGTTGTGTTCTTGAAACATGTTCTAGAATCCAGAGCAAATGGGGTTGTGTCCAACAATAAGACAGAAGCCAGTGCTAAGACCTACATTCGAAAATACACAAATGTCCTCAGAAAAAAAGACAAATCCATGATAAAATATCACCCTAACACAACAAGATGAAGCGTTGAAGCCTGAGAGTCAGAAAGCGAGAAGCGACTGCCATGTAGTTATGTTCTTGTGGTATAGAGAGAAAGGAAAAGAGAACATAGCACTGAAACGTGTAGAGAGTCTTCAGGGATCTGATGTGGATCCACTCTGTCACCTGATAAGACAGCCCTTCTAGGTAGATCTTGAACTACAGCACAGAGATTCAAAAGTGGGCTAGGATGGACAGGAGGATCATGTTGACTGTGATAAAGGCTGCGGAGAGGTCAATAAAAAGTTTGGCTGATCTTGCAGCATAAAACCACAAGGGCAGTTTCAGTACAGTGCGCTGGTTTGAAGCAAGACTGGTTGGAATACTGCAGTGGGTTTTGGGTGAGGAAGAGAGAGAGCAGATTATGAATGGAAAACTGGCTGATTTTTGTGAGCAAATAATGACTGAAGCCTTAATCCTTTCTATCGTAAAATAGGTGAGCACGTTAGAGAAAGATTAAACTAAATTACATGACAACAAAGCATGTTACATGGGTTAACCGAGTGTCTATGTACAAAGCCATTAAAAAAAATCGAACAATAAATCATGAATGTGATGAGTAAAGCATCTTCTCTAGTGCAAGACAGTACAGGATTACTGAAAAATTCTATTAAAAGGCAATCCTATCAATGTCTCACATTAGATTTTATGTCAAATGTTATTGTTTTAGTTGTTTTTATATACAATATATTTTATATAGAATATTTATTTTTTATACTTACATTTGTCTACAACTCCTATTTTAGTATGCAGTGAATGTTTGTTTTATAGCTGAACTGTTCACAAGGGGCACTTCTGAGCTGTGGAAGAAGAGTAATAATTCCATGATGAAGTTTCAGAATTCCAGCGGTGAAGGAGAAGCCTTGGAACCATCACTTTTCATCCTGAAGCTTAT